GTCCTGACTGGCTGAAGAAGTATGTGAACTATGGAGGAGCTCTCTGATGAGAACAGGTAGGATCAAATGACCTGATGGAGTTGAATTCTGACAATGTTCATCTTCTTCTTTTCTTGTTTATCTGTAATTGAACAATAAATATTTCACACTGTTTCTATCACACATGCTCTGTCTCTTTAAGCTTCCCCTTACCTTTCCCTTCATGTTAGATCTCTTTCTCTCTGCTGCTCATCGCTCTCTCTCAAATCTCTGTGTTTTTATTGTACTTTCTCTCTCCTCTCTTCTTCTTCATCAATCCATCTGACCCCCCTCACCTCTCTTCTTCTGTTTCTTCCCCTCTGACCCTCTCTTCTTGAATTATACTTTAATAAGGTTGAGTTTCATTGTTGACTCACTGGATTTTAAAGTCCCTTTTTTTCCCATACATTTAAAAAGTTGTCATCAAACATGAGTTGTAACAGTATTTAAGAGAAATCCTGATAAAGAAACTCTAATCTGTCTCCTGTTTGTCCTCCAGACCTCCCCACAGTGTCTCTCCTCCAGAAGACTCCCTCCTCTCGGGTCACCTGCCACGCTACAGTTTCTACCCAACAGAGCCATGATGTTCTGGAGGAAAGATGGAGAGAGCTCACGAGGACGTGGACAATGGAGAATCCCCCAACCACGACGGCCCTTCCAGATCAGCGCTGACCTTCAACTGCCCTTGATGACTGGGGAATACGACTGTGTGTTTCAGCTCTCTGTGTGAAGGAGACTCGTCACCAAACTGGACAAACGAGAGATCAAGACCAACTACGGTAAGACCTCGATGAAAGTGATGAAAGAGAGGATTTGACTGTAACAGTCGTGTGATGGAGGAAAGTTTAGTTGTGACTTTTTCTTTCTTCAAACTCAAATTGTAAAAGTATTCAGAAAAAAGAGTTTAAAGTTCAGCATTAAAGCGATGATAATGTTCACCTCTGACCTCTACAAGAAGAAACTATTCCAGAGTTTAAATGGATTATAACAAGATGAGGAGAGAGAGAGAGAGAGAGAGAGAAGAAAGCTGCAGGCTGGAATAGTGCAGATTTACTTCAACTCTCCAGTCCACATGTTTATTAAAGTATTCAAATGAAAGCACTCATCATTGTGTCAACATGTGTCTGATGAACACTGAAAGAGATTTGAAAAAGACACAAAAAAGGACCAAAAGATTAAAACATAATCATAAAGCTGTGCAGAAAAGGTCCAAAGTGGAGCATAAATAATGATCAGAATGCAGGAAAAAAATGTCTGATGCTAACATTTTTCTGAGGGGAGACCCCAAGATGCAGTTTTCACTTAAAAGTTGAAAAAAAAAAAAAAGAATCATGTGAGAGAATCGTGATCTCAGATCTCAGGGAGAAAAATCATGATTCACATGTTAGCATCTCTTTCATTTACAGCCACATCATTTCATTTCAGTTCTCTTTAGATTTTATTTTTAGTGTTTTCAGTTTTTAAATCCATCAAGAAAACGATTGAATCAAACACAGTTAGAGTGCTGTTGAAGAAAAGTCAAACATGTTTATTTTGAGAGATTAAAGGCACTGTGTTGACTTCTCAAAGTTAAAGTTTTAAAGGATGAATGTGTGACATGTTACACATAAATATATCAGAAATCCAGTCTATCCTGTGTGAATGTCTCTGAGTGTGGAGGAGGCGTGGCCAAACAGCAGTTTGTTTTGGTTTGCTCAAGGGCGACATCTACTGGATCAAAAAGTCACTCATTCTTCCTTTAGTTGAAGAGAAGATCAAGTTGATGAATTACTGGATGTATAAATATATCTGTCAGTAATCATTCACGGTGAGTTTTCTTTTCCTCGTTCAGTCAAAATGAGTTTGAATCCGTTTGTCAAAATCTCTCAGAGCGAAACATCAACATATAAAGAAATCAGCATTCAGATAAAGGACGACAACACGACTGGAAGATGAATCAAACATAGATACAGGATTTATTTACAGACAAGTGGAGATTCAAATGAAGAGCAGCAGGACAAACAGTGTTTATTTACAGGATGATGATTGTCTGCTTGGCACATGTTCTCCTCCTCTAACCTGCTTCATCTGCACAGGTTGTAACTGTGGTTTGTTGATTTGTGCTCAACAGTGAATCCCATGAACACCGTCATCCCATCATCGCCATCATCGCTGCACTCGTTCTTCTCGCCTCGCTGTCGATACAAGAAATACAGAGGCAGAAGGAGGGGCTGGTGTAGACGGAGCACTGAGGAAATGCTACTTTCAAAACCTGCCTTAAAGCTGGAAAAACGTTACCTGCTGTTTGAATTTAGCCCGCTTTTATTTTGAAATAGAGTAAGGAGCTTCCTGTAGATGGAAGGTTAGGACAAGAACTAAAACACAGAAACAGGAAGTGGTTATGGATCCTAAAGTGAGGTCAAACAGCTCAAAGGAACGGTAACAAAGGTCAATGTGTGATGTCATGAGGTCAATGTGTGATGTCATCAGGTCAATGTGTGATGTCATCAGGTGGATATTACTGTCTGAGAGTTTGTTAAAGTGAAATGAGACATTCAAAGATGCAGCAGTGTTCTTCTTTTACATCAGTGAGACTACAGGGAGACACTGAGGACCACTATCTACGGAGAGCCTGAAGGGACAAAATAAGATGAGATTAATCGTGATGAACTCGTTAATGCTGACAGCTCTAATTATTGTTTTATTTTGATCAGAGATCCTAAACTGTTTGTGGGAGGCGTCTCAGCTATCCAGTTGAAATCTTGTATATAATTCCTGCTCGTGTTCAGGAACGAGGGATGTTTTCTCTCTGAGTTTTGTGAATGGAAGTGGAAGATGAATTCTCAGAATCACTTCCTGTGTTGGGTTAAGTTAACTAGTGGTGTTGAGCTGCTGTTTCATACCTTTGTACTGTAAATGATCTGTTCAATAAAGTCCCTCACACTCCAAATGTCTGTGTGTTTCTTCACTTCAACATTCATGGAAACACTTACACAGCTGTAGCTACCATTGTGGGAACATTTAGTTTGATTCCAATAAACTTTATGATCTTTACTTTGTTGATCTTATAGACGGATTATTCACATGTTCTGAAACGTCTGAACAAAGATATTTAAATTAGCCGCTCAGTTCAGTAACATCTACATTGTGATGATATAAAAACATTTGTTGGAGCCAGTTTGATGTGTGCTATAGTGTGTGTGCTGAGTTTGGTTATTATTGCTGCTGCTGCTACGTCACCTTTGCACCTGGGCATCATGGGTAATCAGCCACACGCAGCTAGAAAGGGGAGTGACAGGTGAACAGGTGCAGAGAATCAGGATTCAGGTGTGTGTTTGTTTCTAACCCTGTGTGGTTGTGTGAACATGTTTGAGGTTCCTGTCATGTTTGGTGTTTTGATTGTTTCCATCCTCACCAGCTTGTTTTCAATCCGTGCATTTCTCCGACCTTTTGTAGACGATTTAAAGACGACTGATTAATAATTCAGAGTTTGTGGAGGCGACATTCGATCAAAGAAGTCGTAAAAAAGGATCACTAAAAGTAATGAGTGTGAGTGAATGTCTTTAAAATGCTGAACCAGTGAACCTCCAGCTGGTGTGAACATTCAAACACATGGATCCAAGAACCATTTAACCCTTTATTGGCTACGAGCACAAGGTGGATGGATGGACGGATGATCACTGTTCAATAAATAAAGAGAAATCATTACGCTGCCACATGAACTTCAGGATAAATGGTAAATGGACTTGAGCTTGTATATTTCTTTTCTAGTCTTCTGACGACTCAAAGGGCTTTTACAACACGTGTCACACCTACACATTCACACACTGATGGTAGAGGCTGCTGAGTAAAGAGTCCATCACAAGTAAGTGATCACATTCACACACCAGGTCCTTACACACTTATGTTCATACATTTGAAAAGAAACCTTAAAAGATTCAACAGAGAAGTGAAACTGTCGTCTAGAAAGCGTCTCTCTGCAGCTCTCTCACCTTTCCTACGATGCTGCCCACGGTGATGATGGATCCTTTGGGTGCTCCACAGGCCACCAGAGCCTGAGCCACAGCCTGAGTGATCAAGAAGGAGCCCTGGAAGAGACGCAGGAGCAGGAGTGAGTTCATCTCTTCACAGTAAATCAGCACCAGAGAAAAGAGTGTTTGAAATAATAACAAAAATCATTCAGCTCTGTGGACAAAACACAACAATCCTAAACGTTCTTCAGCCTCAATAAAGACATTTTCACTCATGCACTACTGAAAGTCTTCATTATTTTCAGGCAGTCAGAGGTGGTGGACAGAGCAACAGAGTCCAACTCTATGATGACAGTTTTTTTGTACATACTGGAGGACAGAAAACTTAAGGCAGCGGTTTAATAACGTGCACAGAGATCACACATATCGCGGTCATACAGTCTCTGGTTGTGCACGGGTCCTGAGGTAGAAACGTTACCACCCCCTCTTGCTCCCTCACAGTGAATTTACCTGAATACTTCCTGCTGCGTTCTCACATCAGCTAACCCGACTTCATGCAGAAAAATGATCAGGGGGCTGCCGGCTAAAGAATTCCAGATAAAGTCGGAGTAGAAATGTGTCTGTTTGCGTTCACTCGTGCAGTTTTTTAGAAGTTTTGTGAGAGAATCATTTTATGAATTCTTTTCTTCAAGTGCAACAACGAGAAACTTGAATCTTCGGTTGTTTCCTGTTGAAGACAACAGAGACTGATTTCTTTCTTTCTGATTCTTCTCACAAAGTCGACCCACGTTATGTCTCAACAGCAGTGATGGAAGAAGAGTGCTTTAAGAAGTGCTGCAATTTGAGCACAAATGAACCGGCATCGAGGGCCAACATCTAAAAATATGAATCATTTGTAACTTGTAATTCTGGTGCCGACTAGTGAGGGTGATGACTTCCAACCTTTAAGTGGACTAACGGGCACATCCCTAGTTATTAGATTGTGATGTCATCCTCTGACGTTAACCTGATAGACTCGATTACACGCTGAACTTGCTTCATACCTTCAGGTTGACCTGGATGACTCTGTCAAAGTGATCCTCCTCCATGTTGAGCAGGAAGTGGTCCTGCGTGATGCCTGCTGCGTTCACACACACTGAGGGAGGCTGGAAGTAATGAGTGTGTAGAGGAACAGAACAATAACTTACAAGGAGAGAAAAACAACACGTGGAATAGCCCTCCAGCATGAAAACACACAGAGAGAAAAGTACCTTTTTCTACAGAAAGGTTGCTGATTATGATGGAAATGTAAACACATGTTGTGTTGGCTTGTCTTCCTGTCTGTATCACACCTGTATTCTGGTGACCAGCTTCTTCACGCTCTCTTTTGATGACACATCCACCACAGCCGCCATGTGACCCTGTCCTCTGAGGTCATTCTGCAGACCCACCATGGTCTCGTTGGCAGACTCCTCGCTGATGTCTGCCACCACCACGGAGGCGCCCTCAGAGGCCAAACGCTGACATACCGCCCGTCCGATCCCACTGCCTCCTCCTGGGAGGGAAAAGAGTAGCATGAAGTTACCAGAGTGACAGAATGTTTTAAACACAACGCTGCAGAGGAAAGACTGAGTGTGACAGA